TCTAGATGTTCTACTTACAAGGAGAAAAGACGGTTTAAAAAGGAGAAACATAAACAGGAAAACACCGTGGACGGGTCAGTATACAAACTTTCTTAGTTTTGTTCCTCTACAGTACAAAAGGAACCTGATTAAGACATTACACTATAGAATCAAGACCATATGCTCTCAAGATACGGTCGAAGATGAAACAAAAGCATTATACACGACCCTGGGAAAAAACAGATACCCAGAGAAATTTATAAATAACAACATAGCTAATAAAAGAGAGCATAAAGAATGTTTAACTGTGAATAAAAAGCCTCTGTATATACGTCTACAATTCAGAGGCGACGCACCTAGTGAAATGTTAAAACTGAAGCTACGAAAATCAATCCAAAGGACTTTTAATGCAGGTAAACTACAACTAATGTTTTCCACACGTCCAAAATTGAAAGATAAATTGCCTAGACTAGCCACTTTTTTCTGTATATATCAATTCAACTGCTTCTCTGGGGCAAGTTATATAGGCAGATGTTCTAGGAATTTGTATATTCGGGCTCGTAAGTACCTCCCAGTGTGTTTAAGCAAAGGTGTAGTCAAAACGGTTAACAGTTTCATTTTAGCCCATTTAGTTCAGAACATCCAACATGGAGCAATTTTTTGCAATATATTGTGTTAACAACAGTCTATTTAATTCCGTTAGATTAAGAATTCTGCAGACGGCTGAGGCAATCGCTATTCGGATCAAAAAGCTAGAACTTTGCATCCAAAAGAAATATGTCCAGCCGCTCCTTTTACCCTGGCCAGCTTGTTATTAATCAATTTTATAATATGGTGACATCAATCTGATTAATGCTCGTTTTTTCCTGCCGGGCCAAGTGCAGGAAACTCATGGTTTAGTGTCTATTCTGATTTTGCCGGGCCAAAATTTCCTCATCATAGTCGACTTATTCAAAAAAATGGTCTGAAATCTTTTTAGTCCGTGAAGCTTCATCGACACCAACAATCACAGTACTGAACAGACTTTTCAGTTAATATGGTTTTCCAGAGACGCTAACGGGCAAAAATCTTCTCGTACTATTGTTTAAACTACGGGGTTATAAACATTCGATATTCGGGTTGTGACAAAAAATACAGTTAGTCATTTTTATAAAATTCATAAATATGTTTGTGGATCTACCAATTAGAACCAAAGTTAATTGGATAACACTGGATCGATTAAATGAAATAACAATTAGTCTGAGCTAACTATACAACATTACTGTTTATGAGCCTGTACATGAAAGCATGTATATAAAACCCGATGTGACGCATGAACTGGACTATAAAGTATGGATATCCCGATAAAAATTTACAATTTAAGTGTGCAAGGAAGAAATAAATGGACACGATAAAACTTCATCGAGAAATGTTAGAAAATTTACTTATGAAAATTCTGTAGAATCCGTAATTGAAGTTTATCGTCCAGTGGAAATTCCGCATTAGATAACGATCTGTCGAAAAGTGCTTTAGCCGTTTGCAAATCCCCAAACTAATATACATGAAGAAAACAAGGGGTACAAATGGAAAAATATTGTGTGAGAACCAATTAATGACTTGTGTGATCACTTGTAAATAAGGATGAACATTTTCTGAACGAAAAACATTTCATATTACTTGATACGAATTCGTTTAGTTAACCTTTAATGTAATGCCCATCAGTGAAGAGTGGATCTATTATCGCTTAATTGAGGCAAGTTTCCATCATTATGGATTAATGTTTTTAAGACGTGGATTAGTAGTTGAGAAATAATGTTGTTTTCCGTCTACTTGTTTTAGCTCATGAACATGGAATATTGAGGTAAGTTACACAGGTGGAATAACTCCGCCTGTAGCTCCTCCAGGGGCTACTGCCGGTCCCAAGCCCGGGTAAAGGAGGAGGGTTGGGCATGGGGTTAGCGACCCCATCCCGTAGAAAATCAACTCGCTAAAAAAACGCTAACCAGAAAAAATCATTCAAACCATTCAAACTCTGCCCTGGGAGTAGAAGGAAAAATGACGTCTCATGATGAAAGCCGAGTTCATTCGGAAGTCATGAGGCCGATGCACCTTCTTACAACCAGAGCGACAATTTTTATAGGTACATGGAATGTCCGGACAATGTGGGAGACCGGCAGAGTCTTCCAAATTTCTGCGGAAATGAGGAAATACAACCTGGAAGTGCTTGGAATCAGTGAAACACATTGGACGCAGGTTGGACAACAACGACTGTCTTCAGGGGAACTTCTGTTATACTCCGGTCATGAAGAAGAAAATGCCCCACATACACAAGGAGTGGCACTGATGCTGTCTAGAAAAGCACAAAATGCACTTGTTGGATGGGAATCTCATGGACCGAGGATCATCAAAGCCTCCTTCAAAACAAAGAGAGAGGGCATTACAATGAACATCATCCAATGCTATGCGCCGACCAACGACTACGATGAAGACGCTAAAAACCAATTCTACGATAGGCTGCAGTCAATCTTCGAGAAGTGCCCAACCAAGGACCTGACCATTCCAATGGGAGATTTCAATGCCAAGGTTGAAAAGGACAACACTGGATACGAAGACGTCATGGGACAATATGGACTGGGAGGAAGGAACGAAAACGGTGAGAGATTTGCAAACCTATGTGCCTTCAATAAACTGGTCATAGGTGGCACCATATTCCCACACAAAAACATACACAAAGCCACTTGGATTTCACCGGATCACACTACACAAAATCAAATCGACCATGTCTGCATCAACAAAAAGTTCAGGAGGACGATGGAGGATGTGAGAACCAGAAGAGGAGCTGATATAGCATCCGATCACCATTTGCTGGTCGCCAAGATGAAACTAAAACTCAAGAAGCACTGGACAATGGCGCGGACAACATCACAAAAGTTTAACACGGCCTTTCTTCGAGATGCTGACAAACTCAACGAATTTAACATAGCCCTCAGCAACAGGTTCGAGGCCTTTCATGACCTACTCAATGGAGAGGGAACCACCATAGAGAGCAGCTGGAAAGGTATCAAGGAGGCAATCGTTTCAACATGTCAGGAGGTTCTGGGCCAAAAGAAGCACCATCACAAGGAATGGATCACTGTTGGTACACTGGATAAAATTGAAGCAAGGAGGAACAAGAAGGTAGCAATCAATATCAGCCGAACAAGAGCAGAAAAAGCCAAGGCACAAGCCGAATACACAGAGGCAAACAAGCAAGTGAAGAGGAGCATCAGGACCGACAAACGTAAATATGTGGAAGATTTAGCGATGACAGCGGAAAAGGCTGCAAGAGAGGAAAACATGAGACAACTGTATGATACAACAAAGAAACTTGCTGGAAATTACCGTCAACCAGAAAGACCAGTGAAAAACAAGGAAGGCAAAGTAATCAACGATATTGAAGAACAACGAAACAGGTGGGTAGAACACTTCAAGGAACTCTTGAATCGACCAGCTCCACTGAACCCACCCAACATCGAAGCAGCACCCACAGACCTCCCGATCGATATTGGCCCACCAACAATTGAAGAGATCAGCATGGCCATTAGACAAATTAAGAGTGGCAAAGCAGCGGGACCAGACAACATCCCGGCAGAGGCACTGAAAGCAAATGTAACAGCAACTGCCAAGATACTCCACATCCTCTTCAGTAAGATTTGGGACGAAGAACATGTACCAACAGACTGGAAAGAAGGACTTCTCATCAAGATACCAAAGAAAGGCGATCTGAGCAAGTGCGACAACTACAGGGGCATCACTCTTCTCTCAATACCAGGAAAAGTCTTCAACCGAGTATTGTTAAACAGGATGAAGGATTCCGTGGACGCTCAACTTCGAGATCAACAAGCTGGATTTCGTAAGGATAGATCGTGCACAGATCAAATCGCAACTCTACGTATCATTGTGGAACAATCAATCGAATGGAATTCATCACTCTACATCAACTTCATCGACTACGAGAAGGCATTTGATAGCGTGGACAGGACGACACTATGGAGGCTTCTTCGACACTACGGCGTGCCTGAGAAGATAGTCAACATCATACGGAACTCCTATGATGGACTAAACTGCCAAATCCTCCACGGAGGACAACTCACCGACTCGTTCGAGGTAAAGACCGGTGTTAGGCAAGGTTGCCTACTCTCACCCTTTCTCTTTCTCCTGGTGATCGACTGGATTATGAAGACGTCAACATCTGGAGGAATGCACGGGATACAGTGGACAGGCAGGATGCAGCTTGACGATTTAGACTTCGCGGATGATCTGGCTCTTCTATCACAAACGCAACAACAAATGCAGGAGAAAACGACCAGTGTAGCAGCAGCCTCAGCAGCAGTAGGTCTCAATATAAACAAAGGAAAAAGCAAGACTCTCCGATACAATACAATATGCACCAATCCAATTACACTTGACGGAGAAGCTTTGGAGGATGTGGAAATCTTTACATATCTGGGCAGCATCATTGATGAACACGGTGGATCAGATGCAGATGTGAGGGCGCGGATCGGCAAAGCAAGAGCAGCATACCTACAGCTGAAAAACATCTGGAGCTCAAAACATTTGTCAACCAACACCAAGGTTAGAATTTTCAATACAAATGTCAAGACAGTTCTTCTGTATGGGGCAGAGACGTGGAGAACTACGAAAGCCATTATCCAGAAGATACAAGTGTTTATTAACAGCTGTCTACGGAAAATACTTCGGATCCGATGGCCAGACACTATCAGCAACAAGTTACTGTGGGAGACAACAAACCAGATTCCAGCGGAGGAAGAAATCAGGAAGAAGCGCTGGAAGTGGATTGGGCACACTTTGAGGAAATCACCCAATTGTGTCACAAGACAAGCCCTCACATGGAATCCTGAAGGTCGAAGGAGAAGAGGAAGACCAAAGAACACATTACGCCGAGAAATAGAGACAGACATGAGAAGAATGAACAAGAACTGGAAAGAACTAGAAAAGAAGGCCCAGGACAGAGTGGGTTGGAGAAAACTGGTCGGCGGCCTATGCTCCATTGGGAGTAACAGGCGGAAGTAAGTAAGTAAGTACACAGGTGGAATATGGGAAACATCCAGACAACTGGAAATATCATGCTAATTACAATAGATATGTAACCGATTACTGACGACATAATATATACAATAGTAAATATGAAGAGAATTCTTTACTATCCTTATGGGTAACGGAAGATGGTGATGAACAGTGGGTAACTTACCTTAGCAAGTTACCATAGCTGAATCACTTAGAATAGAAGGTAAATTATTTCACGAACAAGTATAATAACAGAAGGGTACAAAAGAAAAATTTAATCAACATATCTTAGAAGAAATGGTTAAAACTGTATCTATTCAATGGCTGATCTTCAAAAAGTAAGTTTAAACGGATGATACGACAGACACCACATAGTACTGAATTGTGTAATGCTTGGAACGCATTTATGATATTCGAAACATCTGTTCTTTGGATTGGTTTTGAACAAATGCCAGTTAAATGTACCTGTGTTCTGAGTATATAAGTGTCACTTCCGTCAACCTAGATATAGGAGGAACGATTAAATTAAGACTTTTTATTTAACAAGTATAAATAGGGATTTTTCGGCAGCTGGTTTATTTCATGACGCTTATCCTTTTAATGTTACAGATCTCTTTATAGCGCTAAGAGCCATTTTATTTTCTACTAATGTATTTGTCACCAACGTTTTCTTCATTTAGCACGGCTTGTTCGTGAGACATTCCAAGGGTTATGAGAACCTGAACGCTGGAGACAGTTTAACGAGTGTTTTGTGATAAGAATGTCGAAATGCCTTAGTATGGCTTAATCAAAATAATTCAGTACTAAATGAGGTTTATCAACCTTTCCTGTCTTTTATTCGAGAATATAGTTGGCTTTCGGAACATTTCAATCAATTTCAAAAGCGACCACTCTATTTGCCTATTTTTGAATGATATTAAAGATAAAGCTACTTAACCCTCAGTACAACAGTTACAACGGTAGACAGAGTCGATACTGTTAATGCCCTTCTTATTAAAAAAATACCTACCTGCAAATGAACACGACCAAGTAGACTACAGAATCCTCTAAGCACAACCTGATCATCACTACATAGATGTGTTAATTGGCGTACTATATTTAGTGCTGATTGATAATCTAACTTATGCAGAAATATTGATAGACAGCTGGAAAGTACCCGAATTTTACGAGCAGTCCATAAATTTAATGAGGCTAGATACAAAATGAAACAATCAGATTTTGAGATAAAATTCGACAATGACATTTTTAATAGTACACAACTGACAGCAGGAGATCTATATATTACAATATCGTTGAGTAGTTAGGCTAAAGTTAAAAATCATCCGCAATGAATGACTAGAGTCCATTTATCATATAACTTATATTCGTTGTTTAATTCAATCTTTCTATGAATTCAAGTGGGAAGGTCATTCATAAGAACTGCAACAATCGAATGACCGAAAAATAAGAATAAAGTTTGAAAATATGAACTACTGAAATCTAACTGATTGATTGAATAAGGTGTTCACTGCTAAATATGGAGTTCCTGGGTTGAAGACCATGAGCAGACGTGGGTGCTCACCAATGGGCTGTTTAAAGCTAAAAAAGATTTTTCATCCCTCTCCCTACTCCTCGCTGGTTCTCCAGTTGATGTGTCAAACCGCTACGACAACAGGCTTTAAGATTGCACGTAAATCAATGGAATAATTACCACTCTAGAATATTTTGAATCCATTAGGAACTGTTTTAGAATAATGAGAAAGGTGATTACAAATCACAATCAATAAATAGTATCACAGCTGAACGCCCCCAAATGCCCTGATACGGCTGAGGGTGGAGAGAGTCAGTTCTCTCTCCCTCGAAACGCTCTCACATGACCACGCGTATAAAACCACTGCCAGAGAAGTCCTACTCAATGCCTTCACGCAACATTACTCTTGTTTACGAAATTGAGAGGACGAAAAACGAATGTTCGGCGCTTTATCCGTTTTGGTGGACACGGAAAGTTCACTTAGGGGGGCTGGAAAACCCTGATTCCAAACCCATGGTGCACATGTGCTCCAGGATCCTAAGGAAACAAATCGCGTATGTGAACCAGTCGTCGGTCACTGGTTATCATGGGACTGCATCTCCTGATGTTGCTCCATTGCCTTGTGGATCAGATCTTTAGGTTGAAGGTTCCGGGTGTAGTCCCCTAATAAAACCCCCTGCATCGGTCTAGGCACCTGGACAGCATTACAGCCCACACACAAATCAAGTGACTTGTGTGGCGCATGTGTATTCCGTTCCCCTTTGTACTAATATTTATATGTTCAAATAATAATTATTATAATAAATAGTCTTACTGTTTGTAATAAAACTACCAGAAATCTACAAGAAAATTTTCACGTTCATTTTCAGTCATATCTGATGACAACTTAAGTCACTGAGTTGTGCGGTATCTAAGATCTTGCCTAGGTATTCACGATAAATCTATAATTATCGGCTCAATTCAACATGTGTATTCCGTTCCCCTCTGTACCAATATTCATGTGTTTTAATAAATAAATAAATAATCACAGAATATATGACGATATATTTACAGTTCAATGCAGCATAAAATATTCATACCTTGTCGGTAAACAAGATCTGGTTCACTTATCGAACCATCCTCTCTAAAGCCTTTCTCTAAATTACTTTGAATCTACAGTAAGAAAAAAGAAACTAAACTGAAAACTTTTTTAAAAATATGACAAATAATGAGGTAAATTGCACAAAACTACACTAATTATACTACTTAATTTCCATCATTTTCGCTACCTCACTTAGGAAGTAAATAATTCCTAATAGATTTTAAATTAATTGATCATGAAAACTGTTCTGATTACTGTTCGTGAAAGAAGAAAAGAGACGAACAAACAGTTCTTAATAGTAGCAATCTTAGATGGGGGATCCCGAAATCATAAGCTGATCATGTTATAGATTATAGTTACATTTAATTTAGTTTTAACAGAAAGGTGGTACTCTCAAACGTCACACACGCATGTGTGTGAGCACATAAACACAAGTTGAATGAGAATAGAATACCATTATAGGAATTCTCAGAAGGGTAACGTAATGAACAACACTATAAAAAATTCTAGTCAAGTGAACGTAGGTTATCCATAAAATGAAGATATGGTTGTAAAATATTTAGCTAGCAAGGTTCAACAGAATGAATTTTTGGTGAACCCATAATCTTCCTTTGGTAAAATCATTCCTCACTAACCAATATTCCAAACCGTCCAGTATTAAAAACTAAATGATGACCAAGTGTACCACCTTTTAATAAAAAAAGACAGTTATTCAAACTAAACTGGTAGCGATTCAAATGCATACTTGATAGTTTATGAGAAAATGAATTACTTAAGTAATTAGTATACACACATACATCTGAACAGTACACACATTTTTATGATTTTAACAGCGATCTGCACACTGCTTCAGTTAAATCAAAATGACTTTTAACACTGGGTAGTTATTTTGACTGTTTGTGGATAAATTAACTAGTGACATTCTCGGGAAAAATCAATGAATCATGTAATAAACAGGGTTGCAAGATCTATATCTAAATTTTTAATAATCTAGCCAATACGAGCAATTTCGCGTTATGGTTCGGACACCTAGACTCTCTTTTCGGCTAGTATTTAGTAATTAGTCATCGATATCTCCGAAGGATTACATATATACGATTTTACTACTGTGTAAGTAATGCTGAGATCCAGTAACGTTCATAGTAGAGCATATATAATTACTCAATTAATTATAATCTTGAAACACCCTATTCGGTCGCCTAAATATGTTTCATGCACGTTCCTCCTTCCAAATGTTATACAAACCACAAATTATTTTGCTGAAACTATGATAGAATAAAAAATGCCAATAGTCAGTTTACAATAGAGAACAGCAGGAAGGAAAAATTGTTGAATTGAGCCGATAATTATAGATTTATCGTGAATACCTAGGCAAGATCTTAGATACCGCACAACTCAGTGACTTAAGTTGTCATCAGATATGACTGAAAATGAACGTGAAAATTTTCTTGTAGATTTCTGGTAGTTTTATTACAAACAGTAAGACTATTTATTATAATAATTATTATTTGAACATATAAATATTAGTACAAAGGGGAACGGAATACACATGCGCCACACAAGTCACTTGATTTGTGTGTGGGCTGTAATGCTGTCCAGGTGCCTAGACCGATGCAGGGGGTTTTATTAGGGGACTACACCCGGAACCTTCAACCTAAAGATCTGATCCACAAGGCAATGGAGCAACATCAGGAGATGCAGTCCCATGATAACCAGTGACCGACGACTGGTTCACATACGCGATTTGTTTCCTTAGGATCCTGGAGCACATGTGCACCATGGGTTTGGAATCAGGGTTTTCCAGCCCCCCTAAGTGAACTTTCCGTGTCCACCAAAACGGATAAAGCACCGAACATACCAGGGTACTTGGGGGTAACAGTAACACTTTTTCTAAATAAAGGAAATGTACCTTGGTTTCGTTCTTCATCGAATCCGATCACTCGGTATATCTTATTTACGTTTTTAAATTGTATCTCTCTAATTCGCCATGATATTGTAAGCTCCTTTCACGTGGTGTATTTCTGACACAGTAAGTATATACACACATATGTGTACTTATCTATCTAATATATGAGGAATGCAGAGAAACTGACCGGTGAAAAAAAAGTAAATACGGTTATTATTACTAGACTTTAAGTCGAAGCATGGTTAAGGGTCAACAATAAAGACTAAAATAAGTAGTACTTCATCAAACAATTTTAACCCATTACAAATAAACGTACTCGACCAATAATAGCTAGTAAGTAATAAAGACGATCTAATGCTTCATTTGTACGATTTAAATGAGATGGCAATTCAGCATGAAGTAGTCTTAAAGAAAATGGAATGATAGAACCTAAGAGAGGAAAAAACAAGAAAAATAATCAAAAGTGCAATTTTAAGGTAATAAAAAGTACGAGAGCAGAAATGGTATGCATACGCTTCAACAGCGGTAGTCATTGCGTTCAAGCGAATAATAACGGTCTATGAACTTTGTTCACAATCTCGCATATATCAACGTGAGTAGTACAACACTTACAAAACATTTCCGCAAATCGAGGCTGCGAGGGACCAGGGCTCTCAACGGTGCAATAACGCGGCATTTACTTGACACCGGACACACCATTGATATTTCTCTTGCTTTCAAAATTATTAGCAGACAGAGAAGTACGGCTGCTCTTCGGTTCGCTGAAGCGATCGCGATAAAAAATCTTAAACCGGATTTATGTATTCAAAAAAAGAGTGATAAACTTATCACCATCCTGGTAATCCATCTCTTTTGTTTTAGTTTTTTGGTTATTTGTTTTATTTTGGTTAATATTTAGTTTTTATTATATTCCTCTTGCATCATCCAATTCTTAAACCACCCTTTCACTCACACATTTCCACTCACTTGTTTCTCTTAAATTATATTGAACTCTCCAATCTCTATTCAATTATCACGTAACCCATCCTATTGTTTTTTAATTCCATGAATCCTTCATTACCTCTAAGATTATCGCACATTTTATCTTGTCTGTCTCTGAACTCCACTCAACTATTAAACCACCCACACTTTATGCTTCCTTCATTCTAACACCTAATAACCTCTGACCTTTTCTTGCATATATATATATATATATATATATATATATATATATATATAGTTATCATTGATAATATTTTGTTATTCCAATCCTTTACATTCACTTATGTCAATTGTTCCACACTATTTATTACCCCAATGCTAAAATTCGAATGCATATTTGGTTGTAAGCAGCTGATGAGAAACCACGAAATATAATGAATTCATATTATTCTGCATCAATATTTGTTCTGTCTTTATTTAAATATTGTGTGAGTTAGAATTAGAGATAATTAAGTGATTACAATTTAATATTGACTGACCAAACAATCAAGAACGTAGAACGAGCATAATTCAGATTTATTTTTTAAAACATGAAGATGGCTGGAATTACTTGGATTACAAATGACATAATTTATCAACCAGACTATTAAAACCAACCTAAATTATTAAAGTATCATTCGTAATATTGCTCATACTCAACAACAATTTCATGTTAGTAACACTAAGGTCGAGTAAGATGTTTTTACTAAACTGAAAGACATCATTGAATGTACAGGGTCCAAAAAAAACAATAGTCCCGAAAGAGTGAGCACAATTTATAAATACTATATATATATATATATATATATATATATATACATATACTTAAGTACCTGCCCGTCCAGGATATCTTTGGGGAGAATATTCAAAATAGAAATTCGGTGCTTCCATGTTATTAAAAGTAGCAAATTCATGTTCAGCTAACTCATAATTTTGCGTACGCACTAATAAGGCCAATCGACTCAACCAAATCTAAAACAGGTAATCAACAAGAACAGTAGTGATTAATTATTATTTTTATAACATGAATACATGAAGAAAAAATATACAATCTATTTTGTAATTCAAAACTTTCCAAGTCATATTTCGTTATTTATTTACAACACATGGGCTTGTCACACAACTATCGGTAGTTCGGCTGAACCAAGTCGCTAGCCTCATAGTCGGTCGACAACGCATAGTATGGTAGTAGTTGGAAAAACATGAGTGACACGCGTTCAGGCCATCACCGTAGGCATTTAAAAATGAACTAATTAAATGAATGACGGACTTAATTGAGTTCAAACACATGTCATACCTTATGGTTTTCTATACATTATTATCACCGAATGGCAAAAATTCTTCGGAGATATTGATCACACACATCGCTATCAAACATTTTCAGCTAAAAAAGACCACATTTTCGCAAGTATGGAACATAAATGAACATCCCGTATTAACAAATACCATATCTTTGGCGAACATACAACAATTATGATGATGCAAAAGACGGCTCATATTGCAGAAAGAAGTCTTAAAATGTTTTAGAAGGATTGAATTTGTTCGCCTTACTACCATTAACAGTCAAACGACTACCCCTATATATGAACCTTTAAATTATTTTCATAGCCTTACTATCGTAGATAAGTGAAGGCAAATGTTCCCACCAGTTTGGCAGAATAACAGCTTTTGACAGGGTTTCATAGAAATAATTACCAATAAAGTGAATCAAGGTATTGAAGATTCTTTATGAGAATGATATAAATCGTACCAGTGGCATTGCTTGCATCAAATGTTGTTCTTCATAGCTGTCCAACTTATCTATTTTAACTTAACTGTCAGAAACTCCTGAAGAAGACTCATTAAACCCAAAACTTCATTGAAATCATAAACTGATAAATGTTAGATCACCCACTGAAAACCAGGAAGCACTGGACGGCTATTTCAGCAATTTCAACCTCATACTGTAAATCTAAAATGTTGGTTTAGAACGAATTTGTGTTTATGCTTAACCTGAAAACAAGTAGTGAAATTGTTAATTTGATTAATTTGGTAATCGTTGGAGCTTCAATTGAGTACATGGCACCAAACTATGGAATCCGAGACCGTTGGTTAGAGATGTGTGAAGTATACACTTCGTGAGATAATAGTAAACTGCAGAGGAAATCCCTAGGTAATTGCTTAAGATCAGTCAACCTGACATAATTGTCCTCACTCGCTATCTTCCTCTAAATATTGGGTTTTAATATTATTTCATATTATTGAGTTTTTAAATCAAGTAGTTTTTTGTTAACTATACTTCATACACTTAGTATTCGCTAGCACTGATATTATCTCAACTTTTATACCATAAATTTTGTTAATTCTATTTGAATATGTTCATTTGAGATATGGTAACTTGCATCGATGCATATTTATATTAAGTCCAACATCGTCTATAGCTGACTGAAAATACATTTCGATGGTGCAAATGCCATTTTTGCGGGCGGTGAATATCAGCTGATGACGTGAAGTTCGGGGGTTCTGTATGCCAAAGAACAATAAAGCGACAACATCTATAAATCCGAGACCATAAATATGTCTATTTAGTCAAGGGTTTTTAGTCGAATTTATTTACTTTGATACTAGATCAATGTTGTGTAATGAAAGTTATCTGTAACATAAACTTGGTATCCACTCTTATTAAAAAAGGCGTGTGGCACAAAAAATTAAATATTTTTCCGGAGACCAAAGATACCACTAGACAGCCGAAATTAAATGTTTAGTAGGCTCGAATCTGAAGTTTGGTGTCTGATAATCGTGTCTTTTATCCACAGACCTACCACCCCATTACTTAACCATCAGGAGGAAAAACATGAAAAAACAAACAAGCAGAGAAAAATATGGCCCCAAAGAATGAAAAGATGCAAGAAAGATCAAATTAGCTATACGCCAGCTAAAAGTGCAAATAAATTTATGAGAGATAAAGAAGCATACAGGTTTCTAAAGAGATAGATAGTAACTAGCAGTGGAATCCAGGACGCGCATTTCGTTCTGTTTGGAGTTCATCAGCTGGATGTACCTGCATTTCAGAGTTGATGTTTATTCCGTGACTCAAACCAGTGCCTTTCGCTTCAAACGCCATCGTGTTATCCACTTAGAAACTGAATCTAAATAGCATATGGTTTGAGCAATCGAGTGAATTTTCATTTTCATTCATACATATATTGGTTGTTTGGATCTCCCCATGGATGTTGAGGGCTGCGATTGATCAGTCCTAAAAGTGATGGGTTCGAGTCCCGAAGCGACCGTCAACTCTGAGATGCAGACACACCAGTTGACAAGTCCCAAATGGGACAAAACACGCGTCCTGAATTCCACTGCTAGTCGCCATCCATCTCTGCCTAGTATGCTTATAACTTGCTAGGAATATGAAGGCGACCCGCCCAGGATGCACATATGCTGTGAACGAGAACACAAGTGGGGGACAACCAATTGTATTTCAATACAAAATTACAGAATGTCTCGGTAAAGTATGAGAACCATACATTGAATAATTCATTTGCAAGTTTCCATCATTTATCCTTAACATTCTGTATGACTTTTACTATTTGCGATTCCGTTCTATTTCCCTTTCTATTCCCTTCAACTTGACCTTTTGGCTTTGTACTGACAGGGTTTCCACATCCGATTAGTGTTACATACTGCTTATACCGACAGACATAAGTAGTAAACACCACATATGTAACGAAAAAAGTTTGATTAAATTTAGTCCTAAACATCAAGAAGATTTAAACAACTAATATACATATATATATATATATATATATATATATATATATATATATATATATATATATATATATATATATATATATATATATATAATCGTGTATTATATGACCCAGACGACAGAGAGGAGGTAAAATAAAAGGGAATGTTAATTGAAATTTATGATATATGAAAATGATAAATTGAATTAATCAGTGAACATGCAATGAAACAAAACCATATATCGGAGGAAATAAAAAAAACTAGTCATTTACGATCAATCTGAATCAAAGCCGAATTGATCAAGAAAACAAAACACATACAATAAATAGATTTTAATCAAGTGACATTTCACAATTGAAATGATTTTTAAAAGGTGATATATTTACACGTTAAAGTGATCTATGATACAACAATAGCACAATGTTTACCTGAGCAGTATACGGAGACAAAATAGCTTCAGTTTCTTCATTCTTAAAACCTGCAGCTGAAAGAATACGATAAGTAAGATTCAGTGCGCAAGTATACCATCCGTTGTTCTAAAAGAGAAAAGAAACAGATGGAGAGGTCAAAGTGGTGAATTTAAAAAAGTTTAATAATATAAACACCTAGTGTATAACACCTTAGGTGTTTATATTATTATTATTATTATATTATAAACACCTAGTGTACAACACCTTCCCGACCGTTGCTGCTACCTTGACGTGGTGGTCGGGCTTGCCTATCGTGATGATCCAATCGAGCTATGCTGGCTGGAACAATCGTTCCTCAAGGTCCTACCATGCCAGACAGGTCGGTTGAAGAGCGGTGAGACTAAAAGCAGCAATCCCAAGGTCCGAAGGCGAAGTCGTACTGCTGACTGTACAGAGGTGTGAAAGCAGTAAGGTGTTTCCTTCAGACAACCAGCATGACAGCGATGCTGCCTTCCCACAAGGAGGGGTGGGGTGTTGGGGATGTCAAATCCCCAGAACTTACTTGGTAAATGGCTTAATCTTGTAGTTTTATTTTGAAAATTTGGATTTAGCTGTTTTCGAGCCAAAAGCGCTCTTTTTACCTTCACGTCATATTTCCCACCTGTAAACTATCTTAACCGCTATTGGTCCATTGTTTCTTTATATGTGCTATTTACTAATGATGCTTAAGGACAACTTGTTACTGTATAAATGCGCTTGATTTTTCCCCTTATTTGATTGCTTGTACTCGGCTGCTTACGGAATACATATATATTCCCCTACTTGCCTTGGACTTCTTCATCTAGTTAGCGGGGCCTGGGACAACCGATTAGAATAGCTTATCGTGTCATTGTGTCATTGGCTTTCGTTCGTTACCGCGGAATCGATTTAGTTTCAAGCATAACATGGGGTTAGAAAAGGTCGACCCTAAAAATGCACACCTCGCCTTATCCCACGGATTTCCGTCTCCGGCGGTAAGGACTTTTGAAGAACGGAGCTAACACGTAAAAAATCCCCCACAAAAAGGCCGTGCGTGACCGGCCTCAAGCAGATGTCCCTTGGGCACTGCGGTCACGCTCCCAGTTCGCTAAGACCAACACTAATCCAACTTCTTTTTCAGGTCCCTCAAGAAATACCCTTCCACGGTGTGGGCAGCCGGGAAGTGATACTAGCCCTCATACCCTTAACTGCACACAAGACCAAGTTGGTCGCTTTCAAATCCTTCCTACACCTCCTAACAACTCTCTTATCTCCACGACTAACCCTTCCCACGTCCTTTTATCACCTCGCACCGCTTGGGCAAACGATTCGAGTACACAGAACGTTATTCCTGGTCTCCTGAAACCACACTCTAAACTACATATAGGAACTTTTAATGTCCGAACATTGTGCCAAATAGGACAACAGGCTTCCTTAGCTAGGACTCTAGAATCTTACACCATCGATGTGTGCTGCGTCTCCGAAACGCGCATACAAGATCCGAGTAGTGTCATTCATTTGACCGCACCTAATCAAAATAAAGTTTCATCTCGATACACGCTTCGTGTATCTGGAAGCCCTGATGCTGCTTCCCATGGCCTCGCTGGAGTAGGTATAGCATTAAGTCCTAGGGCAGAACTAGCTCTTTTAGACTGGATCCCAGTAGACAGTCGTCTATGCGCTGTCCGACTAAACGGATCAGTAAGGACCCGAAAAGATAGGGAAACTCGTCGTTGCCTCTTCGTCGTCTCTGCCTACTCTCCCACTGACTGCAGCTCAGACGATATAAAAGATGAGTTCTACAGGAAACTTTCTGACCTTCTCCGAGAAGCTATGCATTCTGATGTAGTAATAGTAGCAGGTGACTTTAATGCCCAAGTAGGTAAACTAAGTGAAAGGGAAAGACACCTGGGTGGATCTTATGGTGTCATGGCGAAAAGAACAGATAATGGCGACCGTCTGTTGCATCTATGCTCAGATAACCGCCTATTTCTTGTAAATACTAACTTTAGGCATAAGGAAAAACATCTTTTGACAAGGCGACCCCCGAATTCGTCCCAACGTTGGACCCAATTAGATCACATCGCTATCAGCCACCGATGGAGGGGCTCGATAGAAGACTGTAGCTCATTCTGGGGCACACGTTTAGATTCAGATCATGCTCTAGTGCGAGCACGTATCTGTCTGCGTCTTACTGGTCGTAGGAAAGACACTGCAGGGAAGCCCCTAAGGGTTCTACTTAATGATAGGCAAGCTAAGAATATATTTCAGGAACAACTAGAAAAAGAGTTAGGCAGCCATGTAAGTTGTGTCCACCCCGAGGCAGCGTGGAATGACATCCGTAAAGCTGTGGAAACAGCAGTGATATCCGCTAGTAAGGTAAGCCATAAGGTCAGGGAGAAATAATGGATCTCAGCAGCATCTACCGCACTGATAGATGCTCGAAAACTCATCCCACCTGTCTCTGAACATAACGAAGAGTGGAGTCAGCTTAAGCGAAGGCTAATAAGATGCCTACGCAATGATCGTGAACAGTGGTGGGGAGCGAAAGCAAGAGAGATGGGAAAGGCAGCGGCAATAGGTAACAGCAGACAGCTATTCAGACTTGTTAAAGAAACCGGTATTAGGAACCCGAATATCAGTGAAGCCATCTGAGATAAAGATGGGCATATTATTCATTCTCAATCCAGGAGATTGGATCGATGGGCAGAACACTTTAGGGATCAGTTCAACTGGCCTTCAGCCACACTTCAATTACCCACGATCCCCAGTCGTCCTGAATGGCAAATTGATGTAAGTCCGCCAACTCTCTACGAGGTTGAAAAAGCCACAGGAAATCTGAAGCGAGGGAGAGCAGCAGGCCCTGACAGGTTGACTCCTGAGATTTTTAAGGATGGTGGTCCAGTACTAGCAGTGAGATTGACTGAGGTCTTAGGTAGAATATGGGAACTGGACGTAATTCCATCTGACTGGTCCCAATCATTGATTGTGACAGTCTATAAGAAAGGACAAAAGTCCTCTTGTAACAATCACAGATGGATCAGTTTGACTAATATAGTGTCTAAAATATTAGCTTCAATAATACTTCGACGCCTAACCAAAGCTCGTGAAGAGCAGACTAGAGAAAACCAGACTGGTTTTCGACCTCCACGTGGTTGCATTGACCAGATATTCACCCTACGTCAGGTCCTAGAACATAGACATACATTCAGACGTCTCACAATAGTAGTATTTCTTGACCTTAAGGCGGCATTTGACTCGGTTGATCGTGAGGTACTTGGGCAGTGTTTGTCACTGAAAGGAGTAACAAAGAAGTACATTAACCTTATAAAGGCTCTCTTCTCGAACACAACTGGTCGGGTTGGAGCCTATGGCGAACTGTCATCAGAATTGGTTACCTCAAGTAGTGTTCGTCAGGGCTGTCCACTCTCCCCATTCTTGTTTAACTTTGTCGTTGACATGCTTTTAGAGATATCACTTTTATCATCTCAATCTCCTGGAGTTAAACTTTTACCAGGAGATTCACTTGTTGACTTAGAATACGCCGACGACATAGTTTTATTCAATGAAGACGCTGACAAAATGCAAAGTCTTCTGACCACCATAGGCAACTATGCAGAAATGTTCGGGATGCAATTCTCTCTCTCAAAGTGCAAAATGTTACTTCAGAATTGGGTTGCATCGGCACCTGAACTAATGATAGGGAGTGAAGTAGTTGAGCGTGTAGACCACTTCACTTATATTGGGAGTCTCATCAGCCCTTGCGGTCTGGTGTGTGACGAAATCTCAGCACGGATACAGAAGGCTCGTCTAGCTTTCGCCAACTTACACCATTTACGGCGTAGGCGAGATATCCGTCTACCAACCAAAAAATGGGTTTACTGTGCAGCAGTCCGTTCCGTCCTACTTTATGGCAGTGAAATATGGCCGATAAGAGTAGAGGATATTCGTAGGCTACTAGTGTTCGATCATAGGTGTCTTCGACGCATTGCTCGTATATCCTGGGACCACCGAGTAAGTAATGCAGATGTTAGGAAACGGGTACTAGTTAAGGATGGCAAATCGATTGGTGAAGTAGTGAAACTTCATCAGTGGAGATGGCTGGGACATGTGTTACGTATGCCCAACCACCGACTGCCCCGACGTGCAATGCTTTATGGTGAAGGAGTAGATTGGAAGAAAGCTTAGGGCGGCCAGAACAATTTTGGCATAAATCCATGAAGTCGCTGACAAGTGGACTAGGCCATGTTGGTACGTGTAGACTACCTGGTTGGGATTCGCGAGATGATAGCAACCGATGGTTATAGATCTTGAATGACATGGCTCAAAATCGTTTGCAATGGCGAAGGTGCATCCACTCTTTGTGTTCTACCAAATTCTAATCTTCTGAATTCTTCATGTCCGTATCCTTTTTCTCTTTCCAAATTTATTTCACTGTACTATACTCCTTCAATAATTTCTTCAAATCCTAATCTTTTGGATTTCTGATTATACTCCTACTACTTCTATCACTATGGGATTTGAATCGACAACTGCATCTCTGTGCTAATGTGGTATGGCAACTCGAACTGATGTACGTACGTACGAAGTTCTACGTTGTGACTGACTGAGTGTATAACACCTTAGGTCATTAAGGAACCTCGATTTATCCCAGTAATCAGATAGAAGTTCGTGTACGTAGTTTTGAATCACCTACTGTAAGCCAGGGCTAATAATACTATGAGGTTACCCAAACATAAGTATGTGAGGTGAAGTTTAGGCCTAGAACTCAACGAACCGCTTTACAAACAGAGAGCTGAAACATAGCAATTAGCTGTAGGAAAATTTAGTTCAGATTAAAACCTCACCCGAATACATATAATATATATATATATATATATATATATATACTAGTTGTGATCATGAATCGGTCAGTCACTTACAACGTAGAACTTCATACGTACGTACATCAGTTCGAGTTGCCATACCACATTAACACAGAGATGCAGTTGTCGATTCGAATCCGATAGTGGTACAGGCTGTAAAAGTACAGGCAGTAATGCGAAAGAATAGGGTTTGAAAATGTTATTCAAGGAGTATAATCCAGTGAAATAAATTCGGAAAGAGAAAAAGGATACGGACATGAAGAATTCAGAAGATTAGAATTTGGTAGAACACAAAGAGTGGATGCACCTTCGCCATTGCAAACGATTTTGAGCCATGTCATTCAAGATCTATAACCATCGGTTGCTATCATCTCGCGAATCCCAACCAGGTAGTCTACACGTACCAACACGGCCCAGTCCACTTGTCAGCGACTTCATGGATTTATGCCAAAATTGTTCTGGCCTCCCTAAGCTTTCTTCCAATCTACTCCTACACCATGAAACATTGCACGTCGGGGCAGTCGGTGGTCGGGCATACGTAACACATGTCCCAGCCATCTCCACTGATGAAGTTTCACTACTTCATCAATCGATTTGCCATCCCTACCTAGTACTCGTTTCCTAACAACTGCATTACTTACCCGGTGGTCCCAGGATATACGAGCAATGCTTCGAAGACACCTATGATCAAACACTAGTAGCCTACGAATATCCTCTAATCTTATTGGCCATGTTTCACTGCCATAAAGTAGGACGGAACGGACTGCTGCACAGTAAACCCATTCTTTGGTTGGTAGACGGATATCTCGCCTACGCCATAAATGACGCAAGTTGGCGAAAGCTAGACGAGCCTTCTGTATCCGTGCTGAGATTTCGTCACATACCAGACCACAAGGGCTGATGAGACTCCCAATATAAGTGAAGTGGTCTACACGCTCAACTACTTCACTCCCTATCATTAGTTCAGGTGCCGATGCAACCCAATCCTGAAGTAACATTTTGCACTTTGAGAGAGAGAATTGCATCCCGAACATTTCTGCATTGTTGCTTATAGTGGTCAGAAGACTGCATTTTGTTAGCATCTTCACCAAATAGAACTATGTCATCGGCATATTCTAAGTCCACAAGTGAATCTTCTGGTAGAAGTTCAACCCCTCTAAATTTAGATGATGAAAGTGTTATCTCTGAAAGCATGTCAACGACAAAGTTAAACAAGAATGGAGAGAGTGGACAGCCCTGACGAACACCATCTGAGGTAATAAATTCTGATGACAGTTCGTCTTAAGCTCTCACTCGGTCAGTTGTGTTCGAGAAGAGAGCCTTTATAAGGTTAATGTACTTCTTTGTTACTCCTTTCAGTGACAAACACTGCCAAAGAACCTCACGATCAACCAAGTCAAATGCCATCCTAAAGTCGAAAAATACTACTATTGTGGGACGTCTGAATGATTGTCGGTGTTCTAGGAGTATCTGGTCTATACAATCACGTCCAGGTTGAAAACCAGACTGGTTTTCTCTATTCTGCTCTTCACGAGCTTTGGTTAGGCGTCGAAGTATTATTGAAGTTAATATTTTAGACACTATATTAGTCAAACTGATCCATCTGTGATTGTTACAAGAGGACTTTTGTCCTTTCTTATAGACTGTCACAATCAATGATTGGGACCAGTCAGATGGAATTACGTCCAGTTCCCATATTCTACCTAAGACATCAGTCAATCCCGCTGCTAGTACTGGATCACCATCCCTAAAGTCTCAGGGGTAAACCTGTCAGGGCTTGCTGCTCTCTCAGGCTTCAGATTTTCTATAGCTTTTTCAACCTCGTAGAGAGTTGGCGGACTTACATCAATTTGCCATTCAGGACGACTGGGAATCGCGGGTAACTGAAGTGTGGCTGATCCCTCAAATGTTCTGCCCATCGATCCAATCTCCTGGATTGAAAGTGGATGATATGTCCATCTTTATCTGAGATAGTTTCGCTAATAGTTGGGTTCCTAATACCGGTTTCTTTAACAAGTCTGAACAGTTATCTTTTGTTACCCATTGCCGCTGCCTTTTCCATCTCTCCTGCTTCCGCTGCCCCCCACTGTTCACGATCATTGCGTAGACTTCTTTATTGGCGTGTGCTTAAGCTGACTCCGCTCTTCGTTATTTTCAGAGCCAGATGGGATGAGTGAATGAATGACGCTACTCGGATCCTGTATCCGCAGTTCACAGACGCAGCACACATCGATGGTGCGAGATTCTAATGTCCTAGCTAAGGAAACCTGTTATCCGATTCGGCACAGTGTTCGGACGTTAAAATCTCCTACCTGTAGTTTAGAGAGTGGTTTCAGAAGACCAGGAATAACGTTCCATGTGCTCAAATCGCTTGCCCTAGCGGTGCGAGGTGATAAAGGGACGTGAGAAGGGTTAGTTTTGGAGATAAGAGAGTTATTAAGAAGTGTAGGAAGGATTTGAATGTGACCAACTTGGTCTCGTGTGTCGTTGAGGGTATGAGGGCTGATATCACCTTCCGGTCGCCCACACCGTGGAAGGGTATTTTTTGAGGAACCTGAAAAGGAAGTTGGATTAATGTTAGTCATAACGACCTCGGAGTGTGACCGCAGAGCCCAAAGGACAACTCCTCGAGGCCGGTCGTACACGGCTTTTTGTGGGGATTATTGACGTGTTAGCTCCATTCTTCAAAGGACGGAAATCCGTGAGATAAGGTGGAGCATGACAATTTTAGGGTCGACATTTTTCAACCCCTCCCTTATAAGGAGGCAGCATCGCTGCAGACGCTGGTTGTCCGAGGCAAACACCTTACTGCTATCATAACCCTCTACAGTCAGGAGCACGACTTCGCCCTTAGACCTTGAGTTGCTGCTTTTAGTCTTACGGTTCTCTAATCGACCTGCCTGGCATAGTAGAACCTACAAGCACATACGTTCCAGCCAATATAGCTCGGTTAGGTCATCGCGATAAGCAAGCCCGACCACCACGTCAAGGTGGCAGCTACAGTCGTGAAGCTAGTTCACCATGAAAAACCTGGAAGCATTGGACGGCTGATTTGTCCTATTGTAGGACTACTCAGCAATGCGCATTCCCGATCCCGCCTCGCGTGATTCCAACCCAGGACCTATCAGTCTCGCGCGCGAGCGCTTAACCTCAAGACCACTGAGCCGGAATTCAACGTTGTTAATGTCTAACTTCAATTGATTCACGAAATTGATCGACATATCCACAATTGTCTTTAGTGAGTTACTATCTCACAACGACCCGGTTGAACTTCACTGGTCACTGATTCTCACTAGAACTGCAAGGAATACCTCTGGAAGCCTGTTACTGGTGAGCATATGGTGAATAATATCAGTGCTTCCAGGTTTTCCATGGTGGTCTAGCTTCAACTGATTCATGATCACGCCTATTGAAATTAATATAATATCCACAAGACCCCTTCTGACATATATATATATATATATATTAGAGATTCAAGTTTTTTATTAGTGAGGTTATATATATAAAGTCACATGAAATCCAACAGTTTCTGGAAGAAAAATCCGTTTTTGTTTGAAGCGAAATCAAAGCATCCTTATTCTTGTTGAGAAGCATGAAATACTTTTGTCGGATAAATACGACGACAAGAATTGCATTTTTGCACCCAAAGGCCCTGGTACGGTCGAGAGTGAGGAGGGGCTACCCTCCCTCTCGAAATGCTCTCACACGGCCGCGCGTATATAGCCTCTGTCCTACTCACTCCCTTCTCGCACAAATAAATGAAATGACGCTCGTTACTGACAATACTATTCTCGCTCCGACCAAAGGTCAGACAATTTACATCACCATTATTATTATTATTTATCACGTCGCTTATTCCCCTCATCTTATTCTTAATTTGTGTATCCTTACTTTACATCTTATGCAACAGTTCGCCCATGGTGGAAACTCTGTTCTATCTAAACGATCTCCAGTCACTGTCTGGTCGAAAGTGAATGCTTCCATCAAATACGAATACTGAAGCAGTCTTTCTGAAACCACGTACGCCGTTCAAGCTGGCTTCCTTCAACGTTCGAACACTAATGCATATCAGACAACAGATACGGCTGGCTATGTCTTTGGAAAGTCTTAATGTTGATGTTTGTTGTCTATCCGAGACCCGTATTCAAGACTCTAGTGAAATACTACAAACTTGCCCTTTGTAAACAATTTCTACAAGCCAGGGTAAATACTATCAATAAAGCAGGATGATAGCTTAATGATACAGTATAGTTAGCTTTTGATAGGTGACACATTAAAAGTGGATATCAAGTTGTTAATACATCTCAATTATCAAATATCAGATTCACTCTTGATATATTAGATGTAGGAATCATGCAATCATAGCTATTAAAATTGTTAGCGGTAGACTAGTGTAATAGAAAGATCAAAGTGTGCAGATACTCTATCCTTAAGATAATGTAATTGCTAAATGAATTGTGATATGTACCCCAGTGAAGAGCAAACAACTTACAATTAATTTTTTGAGATCATCGCCACTTTCACTCCTTAGTTCGATAGATGGAGCCCGTCGGATTGCATTAACGTTTGGTTCATCACTTGCATACTGAGCCAACAAATAATAGAATGGGTCGAAAGCATAATTGCTACCACTACCGCCAATTTCATAATCATTGCCCATGAGAATAGGTTTTATCTCAACTAACTTGTTTTTGGGACTTGGACTCAATAATGCTTTTTGAGTAGATTCAGAAGGTAACCAAGCATCTCGTTGTCTTAGACGATTTAAACTGGTTACATCTTGTTTAAGCTCCAACTGAGCGCAGTTTGATATACCAGGATTGTCTGTTGATTCGGGCTGTGAAAATAGAGCAAAGCTATTCGATAAGTTGAGAGAAATCATAGCATATACATTTCTGTATAAGAGTAAACGTTAATATTATGCAACAAATATTTGTTGTTCCCCTTTTCTATAAGCCCTAATATCTATAACACTAAAACAAGAATTAGAAACCGTACAAGCACATTGGTAACTAGGTAGTCAAATAAAAGGGTTAATCGGAGGAAATTCTGTAAACAAATAAAGTAGGCATCGGAAAAATCGAGTGACTAAACTAAACACAATGGTGACTGGTTGCTGCAGCTATCCTCGCACAACTGTTTATTTCTAGCAAGCACCAACTATGATCATGATATACGCATTCGTCTGACACAGCAATCACAATCGACTCAACGGTAGACTCAAATAAAATACATTGCCATCAGCCTCTTTTTCAGTGAAGCTTAGCAGAGAACTCATTCATTCTGGAGCATATATTTGGACTTTAATCATACTCTAGTGCATTTTATGGGACGCGGTAAAGAAAGTCAGCTACATCGTAGGACCAGGCACATATATGCATCGGCCCAAGTTGCCATACCTCGGCAAAGAAAGGCTGACCACAGTTCGGTATAACGACCTCAAAGTACATTTCAGAGACAACTAGAAAAGAAGCTAGTGAATCATGAGGGTGATGATCATCCAGATCTGGCTTAGCATGATATGCAAACAGCTGTGATATTTACCAGTGACTTAAACCAATGGGTTGAAAAACATCACTGAATACTGATGACATTTACCTAATTGATAGATGCTCGAAAAACGCATCCCGATAGGTTTCAAACATGATGACGAGCGAAGGCAACTAAAACCTAGACTGACAACTTGTTTATTCTATGATCGTGAGTAGTGGTGGGCAACAAAACCGAAAGCGATAGAAAGGTAGTGGTGATATTTGACGCTAGTTAACCATTCCCACTGGTCGACGAAAGAGATTTCAAAAAGGCAGTTGTTAGTGAGACTGTTTTGGTAAAGGATGGCATTACTATTCACTCTCAATCCAGTAAATTAGACTGATGGGCAGAATACTTAAAGGAACAGCTCAACGTGCCTTCAACAATCTTTCAGTTGCCCAGTTTCTTTAAAACCTGAATGGGTAATTGAAACTCTAGTTCTTCGTAAGGTTGTAAAGGCTATAACCAATCTTAGGTGTAGGGCAGCAGCTCATGATGGACTAGCCTCAAAAGTCTTTAAGGATAATGCTTCAGCTTTAGTGAATAGATTAACCGAGATACTAGCTGGAATCTGGTTGTGATCCCGACTCCTTGGTTTTGGTAGCTGATCATCGCAGTTTATAAGGAAGGACAAAACCCCTCTTGCGTTAATCACAGAGGAATTAGTTTGACTAATGTAGTATCTAAAGTATTCCCTTTAATCGTCTTACGCTTAACTAGAGCGTGAAGAGTAAATACGTAGAAATCAGAGTAGTTGAGACCTGGACTAAATGTTCTTTTTTCCCCGGGTTCTGAAACATAAACATACTTTGCGACATCCAGCCGTGTTCTTCTGATCCACTTGGGCAACAATCCATGGATGGTTAAAGTATGATTTTCCCTCCATATAAAGCAAAGCTTAACCTCGCGACTGACCTGTGTCAACATCTGAATTAATTATCAGGAGTCAAGTAGTTGGGCGTGTCGACCGTTTCACCTATCTTGAAAGTCTTACCAACAGTGGAGGCTTAATGTCTGACAAAATTCCGATTGGCTTTTGCCAATTTCACTTGTTGATTTTAAATAAAGACAGAACAAATATTGATGCAGAATAATATGAATTCATTATATTTCGTGGTTTCTCATCAGCTGCTTACAACCAAATATGCATTCGAATTTTAGCATTGGGGTAATAAATAGTGTGGAACAATTGACATAAGTGAATGTAAAGGATTGGAATAACAAAATATTATCAATGATAACTATATATATATATATATATATATATATATATATATATATATATGCAAGAAAAGGTCAGAGGTTATTAGGTGTTAGAATGAAGGAAGCATAAAGTGTGGGTGGTTTAATAGTTGAGTGGAGTTCAGAGACAGACAAGATAAAATGTGCGATAATCTTAGAGGTAATGAAGGATTCATGGAATTAAAAAACAATAGGATGGGTTACGTGATAATTGAATAGAGATTGGAGAGTTCAATATAATTTAAGAGAAACAAGTGAGTGGAAATGTGTGAGTGAAAGGGTGGTTTAAGAATTGGATGATGCAAGAGGAATATAATAAAAACTAAATATTAACCAAAATAAAACAAATAACCAAAAAACTAAAACAAAAGAGATGGATTACCAGGATGGTGATAAGTTTATCACTCTTTTTTTGAATACATAAATCCGGTTTAAGATTTTTTATCGCGATCGCTTCAGCGAACCGAAGAGCAGCCGTACTTCTCTGTCTGCTAATAATTTTGAAAGCAAGAGAAATATCAATGGTGTGTCCGGTGTCAAGTAAATGCCGCGCTATTGCACCGTTGAGAGCCCTGGTCCCTCGCAGCCTGTTTCTTAGGAATATGCTCAGAAATGCGAACATGTACTCTTCTCTTAGTCTTTGAACTCCACTCAACTATTAAACCACCCACACTGTATGCTTCCTTCATTCTAACACCTAATAACCTCTGACCTTTTCTTGCATATATATATATATATATATATATATAGTTATCATTGATAATATTTTGTCATTTCAATCCATTACATTCACTTATGTCAATTGTTCCACACTATTTATTACCCCAATGCTAAAATTCGAATGCATATTTGGTTGTAAGCAGCTGATGAGAAACCACGAAATATAATGAATTCATATTATTCTGCATCAATATTTGCCGTCTTTATTTAGATTCATGAAGGGAACTAACTGCATGAAATTCGCTTGTTGAGTAGGCGAGATATCCGTCTCTCAACCAAAAGATGCATTTACTGAGCAGTAGGTCATTCTGTTTTACTTTACGTGTGTGAAAGATGGTCATTAGGAAAAGGGGATATACGTAAGTTACTACCATTCGATCACAGGTATCTCTGAAGCATTATTTGTGCATTTTGGGACCACCGAGTAAGCAACGCTGAGGTTAGACACAGAGTACCAGGTAACGATAACATATCAGTTGATAAGGTAGTGAATCCTTACCAACCGAAGCGGTTGGGACATGCATTACGTATGCCCGACTACTCACCGCATACCTCAACAGCCGATGTTTATTGGTGAAACAGTAGGTTGAAAGATAGCTAGGGGTTGCCGAACCAAGACATAAGACCAGTCCATGAAGTCATTGACTGTCAGATTGAGCTTTGTAAGTAGATGTAGAGTACCTGATTGAGATCCCAGTGAATTTCGTAACCAATAGTTAGATACTTTGGTGATGTGGCTCCAAATAGTTTGTGATGGCTCAGATGCATACACTCTGCCTTCTCTCAAATTCTAGGACCTGAGACTTCCTTAAACGTTTCTCTGTTGGGATACTTAATCTTTTTTATTGCGACCAATACGACTGTCACTGATACCATTTATACTGTCACTTTTACTGCAGTAGGATGTGCTAATGTTGTGTGGCGACTTCGACCGATGCACTTATGTATCGGGTTCGATGTTACGTATGTCTAATTGACTTACCGATTTGACCCATGTTGGTAGACTCAAATTGCTTGTTTGGGGTGCGCAAGACATCTGAAACTAGTTGTTGGTGTTTCATGACACTATCATATGCATTGGCTCTATCTTACTCTAAATATCGATTCTAAGTACTCTTCTATCGAGTCTTTTCGAACCATATCTTTGGTGTTTAGTCTTTATGATTAGAATTGCTATTTTTATTTATTTTACATAAACATTAGTACAAGGAGGGACCAAACATATATGCGCCACATAAATCATTCGATTTGTGTGGGCTGACACTGCCCCGGTGCCCAAACCGAAGCAGGTGGTTTTCTAAGGGGACCATACTTAAGGCTTTCGACCTAAAGGTCTGATCCATAAGGCAGTGGAGCAACTTTAGGAGATGCGATTCCATGATAGCCAGTGACCAACGATTGGTTCATATGTCATCTGTTTGTTCGGAATCCTTGAGACCATGCGTACAATTAGTTTAGAATCAGGGTTTCCCAACTCCCGTAGGTGGATCCTCAGTATCCATCAACCCGGTTAGAGTCGGGCATTCGCTATTACACTACCTGGACTCTTACTAATCGTCTTTCCAATTTCATCTCGTTGTACTACTATGTTATGACAATCCGAACTGACGCACAGTTGTCACGTTGGTAGTTGAGTAGTAACGTAAGTGGATATGTGCTCTCCTAAAAAAGGTACTGATCACGACAACTTTTACAAAGAATTGGTAAAAGTTGAAGACCTAATCGAAAACAAAGGCCAGTAAACAAGTTTCATTTATCTAGTTTCCAAATCGCTATAATGAACTAAGAGCCTGGAGTTAAACACCTTTGTTGAGATACCTTTCCTAGTTTTCATAAAAACATCTTATGTTGTACATTGCTACCTGACAAAACCGTTTAGTGAGTGATCTGGATATTTTAACTCTTATGTGATATGCTGATAAACAATAGCGTCTAGCCAAGAAGTATATGGTATTGAAGCTAACTTGATATAGTTCGGAAACAGCCGACGCAGCCATGTTTTTAATACGTTTCCATTCGAATTATTGTAAGTGCTTTTACAAGAACTCAAAATTCAAGAGAAGGTAACAAATTATCTAAGGCTGGGTTTGAGTGCCAATAAATTTACCTCTTCAGTTCTTTATTGAGTTTCTACAGAAAAAATAGATGGTGATAATCTACAATGACTATGTTCCCAATTTTCAATTACTGATCACCAGGTTCAAAATCTTTCTGTAACCGAATACCAGTAGCTAGGTCAAGTTATTAGTTATTACACAACATTCATGAATTATCGTCCAATATGTAAATCTGTCCGTACATGCTAAAATTAAGAATTGAAAACCAAATCATGACTTTTTGAAGTGTACAATGAAGTAAGAAAATGAACTCCCTTACCGATTCATTAGCACTTGAGTCATAGACAGAACCAAAAGGATCGTCCGTTATTTCTTCAGTGAAATAATTACTCAAAATACTGTGACTCTGAGCCTGAGAATCTTCAAGATTTGGGAAATTTTTAATTTAATGAGCTGAATGTAAACATACCCTTTTCGACCTTCTGATCATTACTAAGCTGTGGATAAACATTTCGACTAGATTCAGATAATAACGAGTGATCTGGATGTTTGTTTCAAAATGATTCATAGAATATGACTGACATACATGTGTACTTACCAATAACCTCGACTTTCCCTTGCCTACAATTTGTATTCATTTTTACGAACAAAGGCTTTTTGGCGACGTCCGCTGATGCTAATCTAACCACCAGGTGATTGAAATTTATAGCGTGCAAGTGACGTGACAAGACGTGTTGAACTGAACCAGATACTTGGAATTTTTGTGTCAAAAAGAAACAATCGCCAAGGTCGAACAGGTAAAACAAATATGCCAGGCAAAAGGTGTCCAACAATTAGTGTATCTTTGAGAGACCAGCTCTAAGCTCTATGTTCTTGTATACAGTGCTATGGGAATATAATATTAATAGCAGTAATCGAATAGTTTTGATGGGTAATGGACGATGCAGCATTCAGATATACATGTGAATGAATAGATAATATGAACATAATTATTACTAATCGGCTCGTAATGCGGCGTCAAATACTCGGTTTGTGTATATACATTAAAGTAAGGATCATGGTGAAACAAAAATTGCGGAAGTTCGGTTTAGGTTGTCACCGAAAATATAGGAAATGACGATTGCTGCGTACCAATGAGATGAATGAACATTAGTTGTATATCAAGAACATAAGTTCCTACTATCGGGAGTATGAATCCGAACTCTAAATGGCTTGACCGGAAGCTAGAATAAAGTATATGGGCTTAACATATAAACTGATACTACAAGCAAATTGTTCGGTATTCAGTGACCCGACTGCCAGATGACATGACTAGGGTCCGAAGACATTTCACCGACTCTAAACCACTCAGTGTGTACAGCCACCGTCATTGTTTGTAAACTTACTTACTCTTGTTATCCCTCATGGAGGAAATGACTGGAAATAAACTCAACTACGGCTAATAACCATGTCAGTCTACCTAGCGACCGATCGAAGCAAAGTGAATTCTTTCCTGCATGACCTCGAATACGCTTTGGATTGGGATAACTAATTATTGTAGTAGAATTATTGATGTCGTGGAAGTCGATTCCATTCATTGCCTCATAATTAATGCGTGCAAGGATAAATCCTTCAAAATCTTTGTTGTTCCGACGAGTCATTTCATTAAATATTCTTACCTTGCGGCATCAGGAATCAGTACATTGAACATGATATTATTGTAGTTCTTTGGAAGTTGCATAGACAATTTAAATAGATTTATCTAAGAATATCAAAGTCTTAGTAGTCTGTAGGCATTATTTCTTATGAATGTAAGGAAATAAGCAAAAGATTTATCATTATAAACATCTTTGGTGGTCATAATAAAGGCACCAAACCTCTCCATGTATTCTTTGGAAGCTCCAGAATTTAAATATATATCCATCTGTCTGATCACTGAGTAGGGGTTGGTGCTGCGCCAAGTCCACATAGTTTATTCTAGCCTCTGGAAAGACAAGTCTATTGATTCTTCTCAAGTCACAGCCCTACCCTGTCACTTATTCGCTTGGTAATCCTGATTAATTTTCATGATCTTATATGTGCTAATTGCTCACCTTACTTATTATGTGTCCGTAACTTATTTTTGTGCGACTATAAATATTGGTTCTTGCTCGGCTAAATCAAGTTGGCTTGCAAGCTTTCTCCGTTGCGCGTTATTTTGTTTTGCTTCGTTTTTCGACCGACGATTGTATGAAATGCATGCATTCGACATTTATTCTCGTGTTTGACTAGTTTGATTACCTTATTCATCAACGCGATTTAAGTCGATGGTTATGTACGAAGATCGGAAGTATGTATATTTCGATAACAAACAGCAAACGATATACCTGGAGTCAGATCTTGGATCACTACATCAGGCTTCTTCAGGACTTCAACATGGTAATCAGAAATATTTAAAATTTTGTACAAGCTAGAATTTCTTGCAATGGTGCAATTTACAGTAACCAGATGAACGCAAATCAACTTGTTGTATTTGGAATTCGAATTTAGGAAATAATAAAGTACAAAATAATCATCAGTTCGTTCAAATACCTCAGGGTACCATAAGCAACAGCCGAATGTGGAAGAGAACAAACCGACTTCCAGTTGGAGAGGAAATTAAGAAAAGATGTTAGAGGTGGGCAGGACATACATCGAAAAAATCACCAAACTGCATCACAAGGCGAGGTCAAAGTCGGAGTTCCGCAGAGTTAATGAGATGAAGAAGACTAAAGAACACGTTGCGCTGGGAATCGGAGGCAGACATCTAAAGGACGAATAGTAACTGGATAAATAGTTGGAAAGGATTACTCAGGACAGAGATGAATGAAGAATGCTGGTGGGAGGCCTATGCTCCTCTGTGAGTAACAGGTGTAAGTGAAAAAATAGTGAACATGCTTCCTGGTGAAACAGCGAATGAATTGAAAGATAAAATAATGTCCATGTTATCACTTCAGAAATAATACAAATCGAATATGACTAAAGATAATAATAATAATATATTTCTGCAATAGCAGGTACACGCCATTTTTACAGACATGATCTACAATTTACAACATATACTGGTTCACAGTATGCATCCCAAGCAAGGTTGTTTAGTAATTACAATCTATAAAGGTTGATAGCAGTTCATTCGTTCACATATAATGTGTTTTCATAAGAATATATTTCCAAAGGGGCATAGCGTCCACGTTACATACCAGATCCAATCTCGACAAAAAGTGTAATAGGGTTTCGGTCGTGCTAAGTATTTATGTAATACAGCTTTTTAAGTTTATAGTTGTTATAAAGTAGGCTTATGGAGCGCCTGGTTCGAGCTACGACCTTGGGAAAGCGCGTTCGTCGAGCTTGTTCCAGATGTCCGAAGTTACATAGCTTCACCCTCAGAGCAAGATTCTGAAGAAGAAAAAAAAGAGAGAAACCGAGGAGCAGCAAGGCATTTGGATATGAACGATAACCAATACTTAACATTTATTAGTGGAACAGATGGAGGTATGATAAATTATTAGATTAAATTGATACTAGCTCATGTTGCAAGATTGAACTGTGATTAGGGGCTCCAGAGAAGAGAAGGCAGTAATAAAGAACAATGAGTTGTGATATTTATCAAGGTGGAGTAGGTTCCAATGAAGGAGGGAAGTCAAGGTTGGAATGAGGAAGAACAGAGAGTGCATACAGAGAGTAGAGTGTTGAGTAAAATAGCAACCATATCCTTTACAGTCAGTTTTTGTGTGTGTTTTTTTTCATCATCCGATGCCTGCCACACAGTTTTTATGTAAAAGTCCGAGTTAGCATGTTAAAGGTTGTCTTAGTAGAATAGTTAATCCAGCACAAAAATTAGAAACATGAGTCTGAATGGTGAGTAGGAGAACAATCTCAATATCACAGATTTATTGACTTGTTCTCATCCATAAAGAGCCTGATACAAACAAAATGTTCTGCCCCACAAACACGGGTGGATTGAAATCATCGCCCTCACCATCAGTGCTTGCTGGTCAGTAACTGAGTAATGAGTTATATGCATTAAAACAGCTGAGAAACGATAAGACAATTATCATTACAAGAGCAGATAAGGGGGATAGGACAGTTATTATGAACAAATCGGATTACGAGAAGAAAGCCAGGAAACATCTACAAGTGGACCAGTATGAACTAATTAAAGAAAGGAGCAGTAGAACAACGCCTAATAAACTTAAGGCTGAAACCATTAAAGTCTCCCAGTCGTTAAAAGTTAAACTAGGATCGTTGTTATGGTTCATGTTATATCCAAAGAACAACATATGCAAGCGGACAATTGTTTTCAATTAGATTGTCATCAGGTTTTACTCTAACATACATGAATATTTGTACGAAAATTTTAGACCAATCAAGGCTATCTGAGTCAAGAATCCTAATGAAATAGAATAAGTCACCGAGCATAATAGGTAAAAGTACAAAGTGATAGTGGGAAGACAGGTATGCTGATAGTAGCAAGAACATTAAATTATGATAAAAAAAAGTCTTATCAATAGTTAAATATAGGAAATTGAAGGTCAAACGTGGGTAAATAGACTAGAATGGTAATCACAAAACGTTAAAATCATTACATAATAAGAGGTGTGTAAGTAATTAGATAGTGAAGAATACAAACGGAGAGATAGGAAATTATAAACAAATGATGACGAAATCAAAAATAAAATTCTAAAAAAATAATAATAACGTCATTTGTTATGTTCCGCCGAGGAAGGAATAGGAGAGTTACAAATTTCTTCTGTACACACAAATTAGGGAGGAATATACGAATTCCTATGGCTTCTGTTATATGAAGGAGACGGGAACGAACTGCGTTGGGAAATGATGGAGGTATACGATAGATCACTCGAAATGATTTCGATTTATCTACATTATGACCACTATCAATTAGATGTGCCAAGATAGAATGGCGTATTGCTGGTACATGTGTACTCATTCGTTGGTTAAGTTGTCTAGTAGTAAGCACGATATAGCTATCTCCGCAGGGGCAGCTGAACTCATAAGTGTACACAGAGGAGGTCAACTCAGGTAACGTATCCTTCGTTTGAGTAGATATCACTGGTCGAATCGAGAAAGTCAATGCAAGATAGGCTGCGTAGAATGTTCTACTAATTACCTACGTTAACCTGTCTTTCAGAATATCAGTAGCTACATCCCCGTTGAATTGTAATTTCATGTATAAATGTTTCTTTCGAACAGTTGAAATCTCCGACATCTTCCTTGTATGTACTTCTTAATGAACGCAGCAGGGTAGCCAATATCTGTCAGTGAGTAATAGATAAATTCCAGTTCCTAACTTAAAGAATCTACTGAACAGATCTTTTTTGCTCTACTAGTGAGGCGTCTAACCAACTTTCTCTTATATTGGATAAGTGTAAAGCTATAGAAGTGAGTATATTGGTAGGCAGAGGGACTTTTTCTAAACACTTTTCTACTTAACGAGCCATCACTTCGCCTGCTTAGTGTAACGTCAAGGAAATTCAGCTTTTTGTCACACTAGCCTTCACCAGTGAAACTAACCGGTGGATGTACACTGTTGAACTGTTCTAGTAGTTTATCCTTACTGGTGTTCTGATCTACGACAATGAATGTACCGTCGATGTAGCGGCAGTATAGATCAAGTTTCTTAATAGCCTCTTTAGGTGGTCCATTTTCTAGCTTCGCTAGGAAGAGGTCGGCGAGAATCGGGCCTAGAGGTGATCCCATGGCTATCCCGTCTATTTGTCTATAACAATAATTGCTGAAAAAATGGACATTCATCGTAC